TGGGCTCGATTCAGTGGCTGAATCTCCAAATTTGAATTGAATCAGAAGACCAATTAAAAGGTCCAAATTTATTCTAAGCTCTCTGAATTGATTTGAAAAAGATACAGAGAACTTTGGAGATTCAGGCAGTCCCCACTCGCCGCCACAGGGAACTGGACCCAGACTCCATGCTGGTAAGTAGGGGGCAGGGGAGGGGGGGGCTGAAGGAGGGGGTCATAGGGGGACCCTTTCCAGGCCCTATCACCAGCCTACTCCCCCAGACCCCCTGAGTGCCCCCCAACCCCCACCTGCTCTGCTGTTTACAAACTGATCAGAGGGGACCAGCAGGCACTGGGGGGGGGCCCTGTTCCCCTGAGCACTACCAGGAGTGAAAAGAAATAGTGGTCACAAGCTGGTAGAGGGTAGATTTAGGCAAGATAACAGGAGGCGCTACTTCACAGTTAGGGCGGCCTGGATCTGGAACCAACTTCCAAGCGAAGTGGTGCTGGCTCCTACCCTAGGGGTCTTTAAGAGGAGGCTGGATGAACACCTTGCCGGCACCGTTTGACCCCGATACTTTTTCCTGCCATGGCAGGGGGTCAGACTTGATGATCTGCTCAGGTCCCCTCAACCCTACCAAGTATGAAACTATGAAATAAAAAAACAAAGCAAATAGATTTTACTGTACCTTGTGAGACTTAAAGATTAAACAGTACGATCAAGCTCCAATATTGCTAATTTTTCATTAATTACATCTAAGGACTCCAATAATTTCCCATAAGAAACTTGTAGCTTCCTCAAAATTGAAGTTTCAGTTTCTTCTGTGAATGTCTATTTTTTACACTGGTACATCATTGTTTGCAATCCTTTATATCACACTATTTATGAATGTAATCACCACTAAATTCATGATAAATGAAAAAAAATTCTGCTGATATTTATGCATTGCATGCCATTCCTTTTAATAAATGTTTCCACAATATTTAAGCCTTCTTTGGGAAAAATTTAAAAATCCCTTAAAGGCAGACCAGGAAGGCTCTAGGTTATAATTTCTGTTAAATTGCAGGATTAAGGAAGAAATTGGCTTTGAAAGTAGTTAATGCTTTTCAATGAAGCTCATTATAAATTGACCTTGGTGTTTTTCTGGTTCAGCAACTTACAGGGATTTGTTTGCTATATATTTAAGGACTTTACAAACTCCATAGTGGCAAAGTGCCATAACCTTGGTAGAATAAAATATCTATAGTAGATAGCTGCTTAAAACACTTTATGCAATATAACAAGGTTTGTCTGCTTTACTTACCTCGTTTATTTAAGAGCCGTGACTTTTTGCAGTGGTAAGCAAGCTCCTGTTCACAGTGTTCTGCATGGTTAATTGTAGCCTGAAGCTGTTCCAGGTTGGCAGTGTACTTGAAAAACACAGCGTGTGGGTTCTCCCGATTAGCACTTTTGACTCTGGTTAAGTTGGTGTTGTTGTGCTGTATAATTGTCCAAGTCGTATCTTGAAAAACACACAGGGAAAAGTAATGCAGCATGTAAAATAGAAGCAAAAGTTAGCAAGGGAAATAAATTTGTAATGGAATACATCTGGAATTAAGGTGATTTTTTCCAGTCACAAGACCAACTGTGGGACATGAAAGGTATATACAACTGTTAGAAAAGGTTCTGCAATTGTACACAAATATTAGGTTACCATTGTTCCCCTTTGTGAAACTACTATACCATGGTTTCAGGTGTGGAAAATCACCAAGCACAGAAAGAATAGATGAGGAAAGCCAAATACCTGTTTTCTAAATGCCACATGGTCTCAGGGGAAAATCCCAGTGACTCCATTATTGTTACTTTGCAAAGGTTAGCTTCTTTGTAAAAAGACATACAGTTATACCCAAGTTTTCATTATCTGAAGAACACTTGGAACTAGGTCTTTCTAATAATTTGATTTTATCAGAGAATTTATATCAACTGCCAGGACTCATCTTTCTATTGCCCAAAGAGTGGGCATATTGAATAATTACTTGCAATTATATCCATTATAAGGCATAAATAGGAAAGCAGGTGCCTCCGACAACCCCAAACACAGGTGGTAATCAGTATTTCTGCTGGTGCTTTGTGGGTAAAAGACAAAGGCCATATTAATCATTAAATACAATCCTATTCCACATTACATAAGAGTCGCAAAACCTCTGTGACATCTAGATGCCTTACACTCTTCCATTTTGGCCTAAAAGATCCCTAGATATCTGGATGTGAGCTGTGGTACATGTTCAGAGCAATTCCAAATATCTTCTTAGCTGTTTAAATATGTGTAAGACATTGGTTCTCAACCTTTTTAGGCTACAGGCATTGCTAGACAGACTCAAGGCATCCCTTAATAGACCTAAAGCAGCCCATCAGAAAATGCCAGCTATTAGTTTTCACTTATTTTTTGCCTACAGAAAAAATAGAGCAATTTTTCTTTTGCAGAAAACTCAGAAGGGCCGCAACAGGTCAGAAGTCAGAATGTTTTTCACACTATGGATTGCTATTTGAAATCTTTGGGTTTATTTTGTAAATCGTGTTTACACCCTTAACAGTGCTAACATTGAGTGGTATCCCATGGCACTTTTGTGGTTGAGAATCACTACTCTGTTGGAGTCCAATTATGTCTAGAAAATATCACTTAAATTTACACCCAGGCTCTCCAAATACCACCAAATTTGCATTGCAGAGAATACCCACAATTGTCACCTCACAAATCTCAAAAGGGCTTTCACCCAACAAGGACATTTCTCCAGAGAGATAATTCACACTTCTGAAAGAGGCAGTTGGATACCACGTGTAGAATTGTTGCAGTACAAAAAGAAAATCCCCATGAATTGCAGACCATTAGTTACAATATACCACCCTTCCCTGTAACCTATGCAGAAAATCCTCAAACAAATGCATCCATACTAGAAGACCCAATTTTTAAAGAGATCTTTCCAGAACCACCTGTCCTAGTCTTTAATTAAGCACTGAACTTTGCTAGCCTCATCACCAGAAGCAAACTTCTTATGACCCACAACACACCAAATGGATCCTGACTATGACAAGATAAGAAATGTATAACCTGCCAACACATCTCCACCAGTCCCACAATAACGACACCCCACTGAACTATCACCATCACCATTCCTGGATCTTACATGTGCACCTCCAGAAATGTAATATATCTTATCCAGTGCGCCAAATGCCCTGATGGAAAATATGTAGGAGAAACCAAACAAACAACAACTTCATACCAGAATAAATGCACATTGAAAATCCAAAAATATTCAGTTACCTGTTGGTGCCCACTTCTCATAAGACAATTACTCCCTCTACAATTTCTCAGTTCTAATCCTCAAAGGGAACTTACAAAACTTCTTTTGTAGATGAGCCTACAAACTTTACTTCATAAATCTACCAGATACAAAAAATCATGGTCTTAATAATTTAGACATTGGATTTATGACATATTACAACCTGCCTGACATCTAACACACTAGATAACCTGCCTGTTACTTCACACTTTTCCCTCTCATCCCCCTGCCCCATCTCCAGCTTTTGTCTTGCAAACTTCCCATTCAGTTGCATCTTCACAGACCTCTTGTTTATTTTGGCCTCTTTTCTACCTTGGAGAACTCATAATATCAGCAATCTCCCACTGCTTGAAGAAGGGTGTTTGTGCCCAAAAGCTTGCAAAGAACTTTCTTCCACTATTTAGTTGGTCTAATAAAAGATATCACATCTACCCAAAGAACCTTGCCTACTTAAATCCTTAATTCCTTAAACAAAGAAAAACCACATCAAGATCCTGAAAAGGGAGGAAAAAGAAGGAAGAGAAAGGGCAACCCAAGGAATGGCTTACTGGTTAGGTCATTTCCCAGGGAAATTTAAAGTACTCTGTACTAAAAAGTCTGTGGACAAAATTCATAAAAAACCTTGGGATTAGGGGCCTGGGCTTGCACCTGCCTCCCTTTGTAGAGAATGCCCACTGATCTGGAATACAGAATCTGACTTCATCTTGAATGATCTTCTGGGTTCAAGTAAAAGGGATGAAGGATACCTTTAGCCATGCCTAGCAATATTTTCCTAGTAAAGGGAGATGTGATTTCAAGATTGGCTGAGGTCTAGAATTCAGTCTCTCTGACCAGTGACAAGTTACTGGTTTACCTGGAAAGCTGCTAGACCCACAGCCATAACAATTAAGCCATAAGGTACAAGCCCACTCACCTTTCCACTTCTGCTATCTATCAATTATATGCACTGCTAGATTTGTTCTAGAAGGTCATTTCCTATCTGATCAATCCAAACTAGCTGGACATAACAGAAGTACATTAAGAGGACATAACATAAGATGCTCAAAATCTGCCCATTGGAAGAATAGGAGAACTTTATGCCTTTTCAGGCAGAATAGGATCATCCTTTGGAGGCTTGTAAGGTTACTCACTGGCATAATGGTAGAGCTATATATCTCCTCAGAGAAAGGATCACCCTTGGTTGCCCAATGAGAGAATGGAAGACCTGTGAATCTCCACAGTGGAGTAGGAATGCACTCCAGAGCTGTGACATAATTTTTGAGCTAACCTTAGCAAAGTCTTAGACATCTTGGAGGTAAAATTGGATCAAGGCCAAAATTTCATTCTTGCCTAGAATATTTATTTTTTGAACAAGTGTAGAATTTTTTATTTCTCCTCCACTCCTACTGCCAACGTGTTCCCCAGAGATCGTTGGTAATAGAGGGAAATCATTGTGGCACTATCTAGGAATCACATATCAAGATTCCATTTCTGCAAGGTCCTTCCTCCTCAATGCTTCCAATATAAATACAGTTTGGATGTAAATGATTATATCAATAGTTAAGCAAAGTAAGTTCTAAATCATGGAATAAATCCTATCCTTACAGTGGACAGTAAAAAACTAAAACATGTCAATTGGATAATTACAATTTAGCCCATGTAGGACTTCACAACACTTCACAAAGAGGATAGAGGAATTGGAGAATCAGAGGAAATGAAAGGATATAAATGGTAGAGTGGTAGGAAACACAGCTTTTTCACTAGGATATTTTCATAGGACCTAGCTTTTGCTTTGCATGAGCAAGAAAAATCCTAGAATTTAAAGCTGAAGGAGTGCTAATAACTCAACTAGCCCATGCCTCTACCACTGCAAAAAATCTAAATATCTGTATGCGATAGTTTGAAAGCTACATATACTAATTTGAGCACAGAGTATCCTATGTTGCATAATGACAGCTTATTATGTATGATATATTATTAAAGATTTCAGGTTTTACATTAGATTGTAAGTTATTTCGGGGAGATTTTTCTCTCTCCACTGTTACAAACTGTGCATATATCCTCTTAACCTTCCTCTCGTATTAATTCTTTTTTTCAGTTGAGCAAAGTAAATACATCAAGTGGTGTACTGAGGTAGGCATAAGACGATTGGGTATTTTTTTGCTGAGCTACCTCCATGATTCCAATGAAAGAAAAATTATATGCTTGTACCTGTTCATACTACCTTGCTTCGTGCAGCATAATTACAGATATATGCATACTTTAATTCTAGCAACCAAAATGCTCTCAAGGAAAGGAATCATTAAAACAGTAGTGTGATGAAATCACTAGAAAAAAATTATGAAATTATAGGGAAAATAGACTCATGATGTATATTCAGGTAAGCCTGACAATAAATGATGAATACCTTCCTTCATCTGACATTCTTGTACTTTCTGGGAACACTGAAACGTTACATAGTCTTTTTTTAATTAACAAAAACTATTCTTCTCTCAAAGTAATAGGGCAGAACATAGGTTTTGCTTGACTATCAGCCAGTGTCTTCTTTGACTTTAAAACTTATTTATTACAGCTAACTATGGGTTTGATCAGGGGAATTTAGATACAGATACAGATATGACCACCAAAGAGGTTTTTATCATGTTTTTCAAGTTGGATCCATCCCCAATTTAAATATCTCTCCCAAAAGAATGACTCCACAAACTTCTGCTAAGGTAATATACTGGGTAGGAGTGAAACAGAGATACATCCTGTATGTGTTGTAATTTGTTCCTCCTTTGGGGCTGTATGATCTTTATTACTGTCCCCTTCATACAACCCTCT